ATAACCGAAAGGTTTGGCTGGAAGTAAATTTTTCGTCTTCCGCACGTTGTAGGAGCACTTGTTTAGTTGATTGGTTTTTTCGGGTTTACCTGCTTCATTTTATTGGGAACAAAAGTTATTACTTTCCAAACCATCAGGAATTATCTCTTTGAAGTTACCTGATTTTAGGAGGTTGTTTCCCCTTCATCTACTACTCCTCTTCTGCTCTCGAATTCTCCTATTGCAGGCCGGAAGCAGCGGCGGATCGGTTCACGAGAGGCTATTGTCATTTCTTTGTTTGTGAGCCTTGAGCTTTCTGCTGGCTATTACAGAGGAGTAGTTCAATGAGCCTTTTGTTTTTTGTGTTACTGGTCCAGTATTTAAAGTCATTTCTACATCAATTTTCCGCCATAAATTTGTCCTTCTTGATTAGCCTCGTTCATTTCATCATTGCTTGTAGCAAAGAAAAATAGCTTTTCTGCTGTTTGGGAAATAAGTAATTTTCTGTTGTTCCCTCTGTTTGCATTCGATTATTGAGGAGAGGAAAATCTGATTGAGACTTTCAAAGAACATTTTAGATAAATTTTTGGTTATTTTATGCGAGAATGACAAATCTTGCGTATTTAGGTAGAACGAAAGTAGTTACATAAACTTTTTCAGATTGAAACTTCTTAAAGAAGGAGAAACAGCGTGTTAAAAAACGGCAATATATATTGCCTGAAAATTGTGATTGGGAAATAAGCTCGGCAATAATTTTGGTGCAGCATTAAAGGCTTGCGTTTTTAAAGTCCAAATAATAATTTATTACAGGAAATTATTTTGAAGGAAGAAACGTGGCAAAATGGGCAAAGGGTTTCAGAATTTCATGAGCAAGAAGGACTTCCATCCTTCGGCGTGGTGGAACATTAAAAAAGTAAAGCTTATTTGCTTCCTCGACCATTGCTTCTTTTATATTTTGAGGGTTTTAAAAATTTGGTATTGTGCAGTATTTTTTAAGAAATGCTTGAGGCTTTTAATTAAACAGAAGTGCTGTCATTGAGTCACGGGGCTATGAGATTGTTTTATTTGAACATCACAAAAAAGAAACAGATTTGTTTTTTTTTCTTATTCGTCTTATTCATGATTTTTTCTTCTAGGACTGTTACGAAGTGTTGATGTTTTTGTGGTTCTTGACAGTGAATTTAGGGGGAGAATTTGCAGGCGTTCTATTTTTAAATACATTTCTTTAGGTGGATCTTTTTTGCATGGGCTTCATTTTCTGTGCTTGAAATTGTAAAAAAGCTCTGAAAAAATACCATTTTGTTTGTAGGTGTGGGAGGCTCGACAAAAGGAAGACATGGAAAAAAAGAGGCAGGAGGAGTTACGAGTTCAGTATGAGAAGGAGCAAGATATTTTAAATAATCGGTACAGTTTTTTAGTGTTATGTTTTACAAAATGCTCTATTTTTTTCGTTTTTCGCTAATACCTGTCAGATTAAATTTCATCTCGGCTGAAAAAGGCCCATTTCGTGAAATTGTGCATTTTTTTCAAATGGTGGCTTAGTTCTTAGAGTTGTGTATTTTTAGAGCATTATTAGGAGATAAGAAAGCTGCAATGGGTCTTTCGTTTATGTATGATGCTCCTTCAGGAATCAACAAAAAAGAGGAGGAGAAACCAGAACCCAAGTTTGAATGGCAAAGGAAATATAATGCTCCTCGTGAGGAGTAAGTCACTGCTATTTCAGGCTACTTTTTTTTTGGATTTATTTTCAAATAAGCTACGCACATATTACGTTGGGTCGACGGACTGTTCAAGGGGCTGTTCTTTGTTGGTAGTCTAACAACCATTTTTTCATTGTATAGTGGTTATTATTTGCAGCATGCTGCAATTGGTTCTTGTAGTTATTGAAGTAATTTGGTACAAGGAAATTAACAGGATAATAGCGAGAGCTATTAAAGTTGAAGAAATTTTGTCTTTTTTCTTTGCAAAAGTAGTTTTGTATAAAACCCAATCTTCAAAAGAAAGGTGATTGAATTAACAGAAAGTAAGTTGAATTAAGAACTTGGATAAAAACGTAAAAAGTGAAGAACAAGGTAAGTGCGAATTGGATTGTAAAAATTGGTTTCTTTTTTTTTAAATTTATTTTACTTTGCTTATTTTCAAGAGTGCCTTTATAATTACCCTCTCCTAATTAGCTCACGTACAGTTTATACCTTATTAGGATGCAAATGACGAACTCTTCCTTACAAATTTTAGAGCCAGAATGAGGCTTTCAATATTGCTTTTTCTTATTGATTTAAAACTAGCTTCCCTTATTAATTTTTGGTTCAGTTGCTGTGAATTTTTTATCGAGTGTATTTTCTAGTTGGGCGAAAAATAATGATGCTATTATGGATCAACCTTTCGGTATCCAAGTTCGCAATGTCCGGTGTGTAAAATGTCATACTTGGGGTCACTTGAACACTGATCGCGAGTGTCCTTTGTATAACATGAGCGGGAACTTTGAAGATGCTGGATGTTAGATTCCTTGACTATCATTTTTACATTTGCACCGATAATTTTGCTGCACTCTTCTCAACTGTGCTTTACCGTGTTTTATCTAAGACGTTCCTCTGTTTTCTTATTTGGTGCCTACTTTTTTTTTCAACTCCCATCTAAACATTTAATTCATCTCTGAACCAATTTTGCTTTAGACTCAAATAACCCGTCAGATCTGATTAAGCAGTTGAGAAAAGATCGGGAAACAGGAAGAATATTTCAAGGAGAAGTTAGTGAAACCCCTTTGCCTCGATTAAAGAGGAAAAAAGGTGATGAGGACGAGGAGTGGTTAGAATTTACCAATGAACAGCTTGCGGAGAACATGAAGGCTGAACATGGACTTGCTCTAAAATCGGCAGTGCTTAACAATATGCGAGCAGAAGAGCATATTGTTGTTAGTTTTCTTATAATTATTTATCACTTCATATGAAAATCATTTGTATGAATAGGTTATTGGAGTTGGGAATTTTTAGAAACTTGATGGTTTGCTATCGGGCGGGGACGAACTGATGTCTTTTTTGAAGAACCTCACTGGGAAAGAGAAACGGAAGTTGATGAAGCAAGTTTTAAAGGTTTATTTGCAGAACTATGGCTTTATTTTATTTTTAGTTTCAACTGAGTTTATCATTTTATAGCATGCTCCTCTGCCAGCGGCCTAATCAGGAGCTCATATTTTTTTCTTAGTTATATTCCGTATTTCTCAAATATGGTTTTGCAGAAAGGTTTTTAATCAAAATAAAGGCGCTGACAAAAATGACAAGAAAGGAAAGAGGAGAAAGAAGGAGAAAAAGAAGAAGGATAAGAAGCGTAAGCATCGAGATGCCGATAAGTTACTCTACAAGTCTAAAATGTGTGTCTTTAACGGAACTGTTTCTTTTTTAATTCAAAAAGATCACTCCACTTCCTGTTTGATAACGAAGTTTTGTGCAAAAAATTATGACATCAGCTTCTTATGAACCGATCTCGCTAGACGGGTGGTGGTGTGAATATAGGTGGGAATTTTTTTACGCCATTTTTGCTATAGTGCTGAATCTTCAGTGCTTACGTGCTTACTTTTTCAAGCGAAAGATTTGCTTTATACGGCTAATTTTCAAGTACTGAGTGATCTTGCGTCGTGAGGTTTTTATTATTTTATTATGGTGCAATGCAGTATTTAGGCATATTTAGCGCGACTAAATGCTGTAGATAATGCGCTGCTGACGGTTTTTATTAAACATGGTGAGGAGCGTTTGAACTGAGGTTGGATTACGCTTGAAAAATTGCAATCTGGTGCTCTTGAAGTTTTTCGAATAGTTTTGAGCGTTGCTTCTAGCAGTGATGGAGGATTAGGAACGTCTGGAACAATGACTTTATATATTATTTCAGAAGTAAAAAAGTGCCGGTAGAAGTATCAGTTAGTGCTGGTCGGAAACACGAGCAATCAACTTCAAGTGAAAATACCGAATACGCAAAAGATGCTGGGCGCGCCAGAAGAAGATCGAGAACTGATGTCGAACGGAGGCACGAATCTGCCAATAACTCTGAAACGGATCAACATTTGCTTCGTGATGGAGGGGAAAAATATATTGGAAAAAACCATCGTTTCTCACGACATGAAGGCTTCATAGGTCATCGACATAGTCGTTTGTCAAAAGGAGAGTCGTCTCGTTACTTTAGATCTGACTCAAGAAGGAGACGTTCTCGTAGTTCTAGTGGAACTGGCTAATGTCCCACCATGTATAAAATAAAAAAACTTTCATGTTGTTGTTGGTCTACGCTGCTAATTTATATATAGGGTGCCTCGTGAGTCGATCACTTTATTTAATCAGCTTGTCAGACTTCAAACTTTGCTGACTGACGCAGTTTCTACTCTCAAAACCAAAGAAGCATCTCAGCAGACACCGCTCTTTGGAAATTAGGATCTTTTTTGTTTTGTAGGTGATCAACTTTTTTTGCCAGAGATGGCCGCATTTTGGAGGTCTTGATTTGTTTTGCCTGTAGTGGGTTGAGCATGTTTGAGCACATTTAAGCACCATGTAGTCCTGCATCTTTAGTCCTTCCGGACCTCGCTCTTGAATTGCGAGAATGGTGCGGAATCTGTTAATTTAGGGACGTCTTCATTTTTCCTAGTGAGAGTGTTGTATCGAGATTTGCTTTGTGCTAGCCTTAGTTGGTTTTAAGATGAAGTGTCGTTGGGCAAGTGACTAATGAAAAAAAAAAAAAACAGGTAAGGGTGTTTGGAGTGGGCCGAAGCGGGGTGTCGCGGATGCGGCATATTTCAAACTTAAAATTCATATTTTGCTGGAAGTCCAACTTTGGGTAAAGAAAAACTTCGACAGAGGGCTCGTTTAACTCGTTCAGCAACATTCAAAATTCTAGCAGGGACATTTTAAAGACATTCAAAGCTCTCGTTTTTTTGCGGTTGACTTATTTTTCTGGACTGTAAATTCTAGTGACCGGTAGCGGGTCTTAAATATTTTGTCACTATTTTCAATTCCAGTGTTGAGGTAGTTCCCTCTCTTACTCCTTATGGTTGATAATCTGGAGAGTAGATTTTAGTGCGCCTTAGGAAGAGTCAATTTTGCTTTTTTCCGTTCTTTTTCCGCGTCCGTTTTCCTTATTAACCGTTCCGACCTTAATTTATTTTCCCTTCTTTTGAGATGAACTACTATTCTTCTTGAACTTGCTTAATCTTAACTAGAATGTACGAATACGTTCCTTGAGGCACATCAAACTTGTCTCTAACCTAGTACTACCTCGATAAACCATTTCCACCATATGCATAAAGGATTTTTTATTCTGTGCTGTCAAAGAGCCCAGCGTGTACTCCAGACTGCCGTATTTGGGAGCGAGAGAGGGGAATGTTACCAAAAGCGAGGGTTCGGAAAATATTTATACCAGTATTTTGATTTTTTCGCAATTTCTTCA